GCTCACTACAGTATAGGGTTTAGGGTTTAGGGTGTTCAAAAGCAACAGATCCTACCAGATCCTGATGGTCAGTTAAGTCTGGCCCGCTGCTTCGTTGCTGCCGGATGTCGGATGGTGTCCTGGCATCTCTGTGGAAAGTCAACGACTCTGCCACCCATCCTTTCATGGAGTCGCTGAAAGAATACTGACCTGTCGGTTTGGGGTTTAGGGTTTAGGGTTTTGGGTTTTGGGTTTAGGGTTTTGGGCTGTGGGTATGGAGCTTGACCGCACAGTGCAATTCGCAATGTGCTCCATGTTGTAGGAGAAGCTTCCGGCCAACAGCAAGTATGGAGAGTGTGCAGCTTGGCGACCAGAGCATTGGAGTGCTGTCGTCCTGTATGGACCGCATGGGTCGCGGCTTTGTTCCAGGTGATATTCGGCAGGCTGTGGATGGATGTGTGCTGAACGCTTGAACCTGGCCCTTTTCACTTCAGCGATGTTAGCTTTGCAGGTTTGAAGCGCCATTTGCAAAATGGAAGGGCTGAGTACGCAAGTACGACTCAGTACGACTGCTGCCCAATGCCTCTGATGCGTGCAACTTGGGGGTTGGCTTTATAGTGCCCTTCTAGGAAGCTTTATACCCTAAGGGTCCGAAATACCTATATGGGATGCTTGCACAAGCCACAACAGTAATTCCTATTATAGAAACCCTACATTCTGCTATGCAGGTACTGAGGACTCTTTGTGATAGTACCCTTATAGCAACCCTTATAGTGCCACAGTGTTCTGCCCTCCACGTGCACGCACCGAACATGTGGATGTTCGTTCCTTCAGCCCTGGAGTGCGTGGAATCCCCTAGGGGAGTACACAGTAAATCTTCGGAAGCCCTCCCTGTGACATGTCTAGCCCCGCAATACAATTGTAATGGTAATAGTCGTATAAACATGTAATCACAGAAATAACAACATCAATAATTATAGTAATACCGATACGAAAATTTGCAATAATGAAGATAATACTAACCGTTACAATCATAATAATCATAATAGTAATCATGATCGAACATTGTCAATGCAAACATGAAACTCGAATCTCTACTCGCATCTCGGAAGACCGTTTAGGGTTGAAGGACGTGGGGAGCCGGTGTTTGAAGAACCACAACGCATCTCTGAATGTGAGTAGTTAGGACTCATCACAGACAACAAGCCCGAAGTCCAAAACCGACATCCCAAACCCTCAACACCACGCCCCAAACGCCAGACCACCAAGTAAACAACACATGCTTCCTGAATCGCAGGCGTCGGTTGGCCGGCCTCGGCTATCTAAGCTGAAGGCGGGGGACCCCTGGACCCTGAACCACTAAGCTCCTGCAAACCCTAAACCCCAACCGACAAAACCCCTGAACGTAAGCTAAACCCAAAACCCTCAAGCTCGAAGACTCCTATGCCAAGGATCATCTTGAGTTTCGGGATTCCGAAGTACCCTAAACCCTAAACCCTAAACCCTAAACCCTAAATCCTAAACCCTAAACCCTACTTGTTTTTAGGGTTCATGGTTTAGGTCCCTTTAGGTTTGGGCAGGGCATAGAGTGCACGGACAGCAGGGCATCCTGGCATCTATAGTATTTGTCTAGGTTTTGGGGTTTAGGGTTCGGGGTTTGAGGTTTACCCTAAACCCTAAACCCTAAACCCTAAACCCTAAACCCTAAACCCTAAAGGTTTAGGGTTCACGATTCAGGGTCTAGGGTTTGGCGTTTAGGGTCCAGGGTCTAGGGTTCAGGGTTTACCTATAGTCTCCATTGTAGTTCCTTTTTGGGGCTACCTTATAATATCCTTAGTATATAACTGGTTAAACCAAAAAAAGGAACTACAATGGAGACTATAGGTAGGGGCCCAGATAATTACTTATAGTATTTTGAGAGGTTCCCTATTATGATTATACTATAATCTACCCCTGATTCTCAAGGCCCCCACACCCTACACCCCAAACCCTTATCGAACCCTTTAAGGAGCTTTTTAAATTTACAGGGACCCCAAGACCCTATTCTAATTATTAAGGCCCGTACATTGTCTCCGGGGGGGATCTGGGTTCACCCCACATCCGCAAACAAGGGTTTAGGGTTTAGGGTTTGAGGTTTAGGGTTTAGGGTTTAGGGTTTAGGGTTTAGGGTTTAGGGTTTAGGGTTTGGGGAGGGAACTGATGGTGGCAACCACATAAGCGACTTGCACGATGCAGCCCTGTACCTACACCCCCACCCCCCCAAAACGCCGAACCCTAAACCCTAAACTCTAAACCGAAGCCCCCACACTTCGAACACGTTGCCTTAGCCCAAGATCTGCGTCAGGAGCGGCCGTGCTTCGAGCCTTCGCAGTCCTGTTTCAACTCATGGCCTGTATGGTCACAGATTTTGTAGCGGGAGTGCTTCGAGGCTCTGAGAAAGCCTGGATTCTAGACTCTAAACCGTATCAGTTTTTTTTTGGGTTTTAGAGTTGAGGGTTTCGGGTTTAGGGCTCAAGGCTCAGGGTTTCGGGCTCGGTGTGCCTGTTTTCCTGGCATTTTCCATGCGTGCAAAGCACGAATACTCGCTTTTGTCCAGATGGAAGCTTGTAAAGATGCTCTTAGGAGCATGTGATTTCCACACCTGCGGCTCTCGTGCAGGAAGAAAATGCCACATGAATCTAGCCAGTTGACACGAATCCTCCGATAAATGCCCTAAGTTTTATAAAACCCGGACAGGGTGGCCGGTTCTGAAACCCGAAACTCCGTAAATGAAGCAGAATGTCCTCGAGACCGCATTCAACTGCTGCAGGCCTTCTGTAGAAGAAAGGCCTCTTAGGGTGAAGGTGCGTTTGAAGGGCCATGTCCGAGATGGTTTGAGGCTAGACTTCCTGTGGAACCTCGGAGGCCTACAAGATTGCAAAGTTCCACGGTTTAGGGTTTAGGGTTTAGGGTTTAGGGTTTAGACTTATATCCTAAAGGCTTGGGGTCGAGGGTTTGTAGCCCTAAACCCTAAACCCACTCGGTTACGTGGCCTTGCCCAGAACTTCTCTGAAGTTGCGCCGCACATGGTTGCCTTTGCATGCTCAAAGCTTCGTCGTAGGAATCCGTGACAGGCCCCAGTCGCTACGCGAAATCGCTGAGATGATTTAGGGTTTAAGGCCCGATCCCCGAACTCAAAGACTTGCAACCCAGATGCAAGACGACCCAAAGTCGCAGCATGTCTTGGCATCGGACGTGATAGCCCCCCAAAACACGGCTGCTGACAAGATCCGATTGCAAAAGTCTAACATAAGGACCCAAATAACTACCAATATTACTGTTAGGGTTCCTTACTGTAATATTACTATACAAGAGCCCCGAACCCTATTCTAATTATGAAGGCCCCTGCATTCGGAAGCCAAAGCTTGCGCCACATCCCCTCGACAAGCGGCGACCGCTCGAGGCAGTCACTCGATTTTCGAGTTACTTATAAACCCTATAAGCCTTACCCTCAGGGTTTAGGGTTTAGGGTTTAGGGTTTAGGGTTTAGGGTCCATGTACCGAAATAATAGATACTTTGGCCTTAAAGTAGTCCCCATATAGGTACTTTGGGGCCAAAGTATATACTATTTGGGTACATGGACCCTTAGGGTTAAGCCCTACACTAAACCCGAAACCCCAAATGCGAAACAAAACCCTATGAATTCTGGGTGACGTGTCGGCTTCAGCGACTTCAGGGATTCTTGCGTTTTCTATGTGTGACTCTGCGCAGACGTCAACTTCTTAGCGCAAAGGGTCTTAAGTACCTATATAGCAATTGGGACGTAGGGCTTCTATATTAGGAGTTGCCGCTATGATGGTTTAGGGAAGTATCCCATGTAATGACGGTACTTGGGACCCTTAGGGCATCAGATGTCTTGAGCTTCAGGTACCCAGAATTGTGCAGATCATGCTATAGCTGCAGTCAAGGAAAGTTATGGAATCATATCTTTTCAGTGCATATGAATATTAGATCAGTAAAAATAAATTAAGATCTATAAGCAATTGAAGATGCCTCTCATCTTTCTCTGTATATTTTTTTATACGTATATGATACTCAGACTCAGGCCGCTATATTGCCAGAAGGCCGAAAGCGTTCGGGAAACCCAGGCCTGGTTGCCCAGTCGAGGTCCAAGCCATGCTGGCTTTGCTCAGCGTCAGCAAACAGGGGCGCCAGGCGCACAGCGGCGGTTTAGGCTTTGGGGTTTCAAGGTCAGAGTTTAAGGATGATGTTGCAGGCCTGTCACGGAATTTAATCTTGAGATTTTTATATCTGCAGCTGGGACCTGAGGAAGTTGTGTCTGTCTATATATAAACCCTACGTAAACCTGGACCTTAAACCTCGTGACCCTCACATAGTCAGCCCAAAGAACCTCCAAAGCCGACAATCGATACCAGCCCTAGACCCTCAGCTCTAAATCCTAAACCCGAAACCATTAACACCAGACCGGAAGCACGTGGAACCCGGAGATTGCCGGAGGCCGTGCGTGGCTTTGGATCTGCAGCGAAGACCTTGCAGGTGCAGACACGTGGCTCCACGACAGCCTTAAAACTGGCTTTATGTATGTGTGTCTATGTGTATTAAATTATATATGTGTATGGTAAATCTAACCATTGTAGACAAAGAGATGAGAAATCGTCAGATAGACATATATGCATATATATATATATACATATATATATATATATATATACGTATATATATATATATATATGTACAGTGATTTACACACAGACACATCTTTCTATATACGTATATGAATACACACATACTGTACATAGACAGACACTAAGCGGCATACATCCCCTGATCATCCCCTCACTTCTCCAAGCCCGAGTTTCGACATTCAAGACTCCCTAAACCCTAAACCCTAAACCAGGGAGCTCCAATGTGGGTTCCTCCTACTTCCCTTTCATAGCGTCCTTTAAAGGGGCCTTAGGGTTCAGGGCATAGGATTCAGCATAAGACAGCGTACTGCTACTATATTTATATTTATATGTATATGTATATATATGTATATACATACATATATATATATATATATATTATTGTATTGTGTGTGTGTGTGTAAACATACATGCACATGCACTGATCTACCAGCACACCAGAGTCACACAGGGGGTGTTTGCTTCGGGCTCTCCCAGGTGTCTCGGGGTCCTCAACCCTAAATCCTAAACCCTNNTATATATATATATATACATACACTTAGCTGTTACAATGGAGGTGGGTAGTTTTCTAAATTCAGGTTTTTCTTTTAGGGCCCTTTTTATAAGGGTGCCGTATACTCTTTGGGGGACTTAGAAGGGGACTTAAATTTAGATAACTGCCCAGATATTTTGTTGAGCTTCTACACCGTACACCCAATAACCCGGGACCAGCCGCCACGCACGCTGAATCTTAAGCCCCGATCCGTAATAGCACAGGGCGCGGTTTAAAGGTTTAGGGTTTCACTAGACCGCCCCAAACCAACAGCTCCACATCATCCTTCCCTAGGGCTGCAGCTACTTCAGCAGTAAATTTGAGGGTTTAGGGTTTAGGGTTTAGGCAAATAGCCTATAACCCAGTAATCCATGATTTAGGTAACTGGAGCCTGCGGGGCATGTCAGGAACTTTGGGCGGGCGGCGCGCCCTTGACCCAAATCGCTGCAGCCTTGGCCGACCCTGGATGTAGGGTGTTGGGTGAAAGGATGAGGGAACGACTTCGATGGGTTTAGGGGTTAGGGCTTAGGCTTTAGGGTTCTGGTTTGAGGGCTTGATGCGCAAGATCTATGATTTCGAGGATCGCGAGTTGAAGTTTCGTGACTTCTTGCGGTTCAGTCGTTCTGGGGTTAGTGTGTCGGGTGCAGAATGGTTGGTATTCTTAGCGGTTGGAAGCTCATCCAGACCTTCCAAAATCCTACCTGAAATCATAATATAGGGGTCCTAGTGTAATTTAAGGTAAACCCTAAACCCTAAACCCTAAACCCTAAACCCTAAACCCTAAACCCTAAACCCTAAACCCTAAACCCTAACTTAACTACGTGGTTTTTTGCAAGTACGAGAAAGCTTTGCACGGGCGACTAGGCCCCGTGGGGGACGAAGGTTCCTCTGCAGCTTCAAGACTCTGCCAGTATGTAGTTCTCTAAATTAGGGTTTAGGGTTTAGGGTTTAGGGTTTAGGGTTAACCCCCCCAAAATAGTACGGCACCCTAAAACCAAGACCCTAAAAGGGACCTCATATGGGCCTGCAGCCAAGTTTCAGCAGCACTCTTACGACCAGACAGGAAGCCATGCTGCTTCTCAAAGCATTTCAACTTCAAGCCCCTAAGCCCAAAACCCGAAACCCTAAGCCCTAAGCCCATTCGTCGTTGGCCAAAGACCCCTAGTTTCCAGAAAGCCTTATGTCAGAGTTTCAGAAAAGAGGGGATCCTAGATCCGGCAACATCCGGACACCCCAACAGCAGAACCCCTAGGATGAAGGGCCTCCGCATGTAAAGCGCGAGATACTTTACTTTCCTTAGCTCTCGAATAGCCAACCTCTAAACTTTTTGGGTTCTTATAATTTAGTAGTATAATCTTAAAGTTTAACCTTTTATTTCCGTGGGTTTTTGGGGAACTAAGTTTAGCCCCGCCTTCATGCAGAACCCTCCAAAAGCCCTCATACTGTAACGCCCTTGTACAGCTCTTCTCGAATCTAGAACCGTTACAGAACCCCTCATCCCTCAACCCTAAACCCTAAACCCTAAACCCTAAACCCTATAAACCGTCAGACTCCTAGAGACCCCCCTACAGCCCTAACCCTCCATGTAATGTAGCCCTTATGTATAAGGTAGGGTTTAGGGTTTAGGGTTTAGGGTTTAGGGTTTAGGGTTTAGGGTTTAGGGGTATAAGGTCAGGATAAGCTGCCTCATGCGAGGTCACTGAGTCCCACGGCCGCGCTGCGAAGGCAGATCGCCACGCCCTGGCCCGAGCTTGGGATGATACAAAATGGGCTCGCAATAATGTCGAGTCCAGCCCTAAATGGGCTCGCAATAATTATGTCGAATCCAGCCCTAAACCCTAAACCAAAACTGGGTCGGAATAATGTCGAATCCAGCCCTAAACCCTAAACCAAGAAAGGGGTCGGAATAATGACAAAGAGCATTCCCTTGTACTTTCAGGGCCTGGGTTCGAAACCAACCCTGTGCCCTGATGAGGTTTCAGCAGGGGCCTTTCTGAAAGGTCTTGAATAATTTCGAGCAGCAGTCGTTTATACTTTCAGGGTTGGGGTTTCAGGAAGTGTTCGTGAGCGGGTGTATGATGCACGAGTTGTCTATTCTTCGGGCTGTCTTTTCGGCGATAGCACACTCTAAGCCTTAAAGCCATAAGCCCGACAATTACATCCTAGCTGCTAAACCCTAAATCCTAATCCCTACAAGAACGGTAAGGCCGTAAACTAGAGCAAGAAGCTCCAAAAGGTCCCTCACCTTCACACGGTTATCTGGCTTTACAGGTGCCGGGTTTTGGGGGTTTGAGAGTATCTATACGGGGGATACTTTCCCAAACAATACTGGAATTCCTCACATCGAAACCCTACATTCTGTTATGTCAACTGTTATGTAGGTACTTAAGGCAGGAACTGCACTTGCGGATCTCAGCACCCCGAAGGCAATGGCTTTGGGACCTGGGCTCCTGGGTCGGCCTAAGTGTGCGCTTGGGTCTCTTGAAGTTCGGGTTTAGGGTTTAGGGTTCAGGGTCGAGCGGACGGGTGGGCATCTATAGCTACGAGTTGAAATTTTCTATCTTTCAAGGTGGGGCTTTCAGCTTGCAGGGCAGTGGGTTTCGGGGGAAGCTTGGGCACTGCATGGATTTATAGCTGCACCCGGGTACACCCCAAGCCATCGTCCAGGAGTGGGTCTACTTGGCGCCGCTCGAGCAGGTTGGTCTTAAGTTCAAGAAGGGGGGCAAGGATCCTGAGTAATACCCTTTTGCCCTTTTTCTTTGAGGTAAGTAGTAAGGGGCCACTCAGGAACCTAGGGAGAAGTATGGGCTGTAGAGCTAGTTTTGTTCTTGGGCTCGTGGAGCATTACTCAAGATAACCCAAAGCTTATCAATTATGCAATCGTCTGTCAATGACGTTATGCACCTAGAGTGGCGATTCCAGCTATTTGCGAACTTCTGGGGCGTTCCATATGTCCTGAATGTTGAAAAAGGGCACAATGCCGCAGCAAAATTGAAACTCAGTACTCCACCTACTGCTTAACTTCCTACGCGCCCAGCCCGTCCAACACTGTTATCACTTTCCAGTCCAGGCAGAACTTTCAAGCTGCGTTCAGCCAGAGTCGAACAATTTGGAGTGCGGGGACGGCTTGAAGCAAATGTTCCCATGGGCCCCCAAGCCATTTGATTAAGCAGCAATACAAATTGAAGTCTCCAAAGATCCTTCATCTGACTGAAGATGTGCACCCAAACCCTAAACCCTAAACCGTAAACCCCCGAACCCTGAACCCTAAATCCTAGGCCCCGAGCCCCTTAGGGAGAGGGTTTTGGAGCCTCTGACCTTAAACCCTAAACCCTAAACCCTAAACCCTTTTCCGAAGCTCCTTTGCAGGTCACGGCCGAAGCAGCGACACTCGAGAAGAGGGCCGCATCGCTCAGCGAGGACGCTGGGTTTCAGTCGTAGGAGGCCACCGGGGTTTAGGGCTCTACTTAAAGGATCAGGGGACTTAGTAATTAGGGTTATAAATAAGGTAACTGTAGTTATAATTAAATATAACTCCCATTTCGGCACTTATAACCTTACTTACTAAGTCCCATGATCCTCCAAGTAGGGTTTCACTGTTTCAGGCTTTCGGGTTCAGGGTTTGGATGTTAGGGCCTAGTTTGGGGTTTAGGGCTTCCGAGTTTCCGTTTTTTAGGGTTTGGGGTCCATTTTAGGGCTGCAGGGCGTCAGGGTTTAGGGCCTACTTTAGGGGTTTAGGGCTTAGTTTCGGTTTAGGGATTAGTTGAACAACATTTGGGTTTAGGGGTGTAGTAACGGTTTAGGCTATAGGCACTTGAACCATTCAGTAGTACAGCTCCTCCAGGATCCATATTCTATGAGACATGTTTCTTCATATGGTCGTACCCTGCAGTCATAGCTTTGGTTAGAGCCGGACGTTTTCAAGGCTTAGTAAAGAGTGCGGCGGGCTTTGCGTGTTGAATTTTGTGTGCCGGGTGGACCTACCGCACCCTTATACCACTCCTTGCAGGAACCCCATTATGGCAATCTTTATGGAAGCCGTTATTGTGACAAGGTTTAGGGTTTAAGGTGCCTGGCGACTCTTTTTGAGGAGCAGCGGAAACTGGAGCTGCCTCTGCTCGGATCCACCTTTGCGGTGAAGGACAATTTGCAGGCCAGCGCGAACTTTGGTGGTGCCCCAGGGATGAATTCTAGGTTCCTCCATCGTGCCCTTTTGCCCCCTCTATTTTGGGGTCTCCTTGTTAAAACCGAATACAAGGAAAAAAGGGTAGCCTTACTGTTAAGGGGCGACTGGGGAGCCTAGATCTCTATGTTTGCGATCATCAATCTCCAAGAGATTTATTGACAGAAGAGCCACATGGCCAGCTCGTCCTGCCCAAAGTCACAGGGGGCTTAGGGTTTCCCTGGACCCCAAATCAAACTGTTGGATTTTTCATATATCATTTCGACGACACCACAAGAAGGAACCCTACAAAAGGAAGGTTTCTAGGGCCCGCGTAGGGTTTAGGGTTTAGGGTTTAGGGTTTAGGGTTTAGGGTTTAGGGTTTAGGATTGCTCAACCAAGCATTGAAGTCACATGGTTGGCTCCTTTCTGTTGGCAACATGCTGGGGGCCCCCAAGTGTTCACAGCAAGCACCTGAGCCACAAAGGGATCCCCAATCCTGTATCAAGCGCCAACCGAAACGATGGAGACCCGAAGCACTATACTCTTTTGCCGTCAGCCGACAAGGACGGCAAAGTAACCCTAAACCCTGGAACTTGCAGTCAATGCCGTCAATGCATGTGGCATCGAGCCGCACCAGCATGAACTTCAAAAGATAACCAGCCGGAGAACCTTGCAAGCTCCGACATTCAGCTCAACATAGGGGCCTTACTACTTAGAATAGAGTTTTGGGGTATATATTATACTATAATGAGGAATCCCCAAAACAGTATTGGTACGTATTTAGGCCCCCATATTACTTTCCGTCGTTCCTGCAGGTGAAGGGAATGCCCATCACAAACACCATGGATTATCGACCGCCTCGGTACAGCTGCCTGCGTTTGTTACAGTTGAACGAGTCTGCGGTTTCCTAAACGCTAGGGTTTAGGGTTTAGGGTTTAGGGCTAACCCCTGGGACTTGGCTTCGGATTCTCGAGGGACCTGCCTGCAAGATTTGAGATTTATTTCGGAGGGTTCCGGCTTTTTCGGCTTACGAGACCTGGCGTGGATGCCGTCCGGTCGAGTGGCGTAGGGGCATCCGGAAATTGAAAAATGATAAACTTGAAACCACAATTGAAATCTGGGATGACGGCGATTAAGATGGAAAGAGCCATCCTACCCTAAACCCTAGAGCCCTAATTTTTAAACCCCAATCCCAAACCCTAAACCCTAATCCCTAGACCCTATAGCCCTAAAACGGAGTCGTTGGACTATCCAGGGCCTTGGACCCCGCAGAATGTCCGAAGTTGTCTCTGCGTGCTCTCCTGGAGTCTCCGCACGATCTCCTCGTGGTCTCTGTAGGTCTCCTGTTAGGGTTTAGGGTTGATGGTCCCTAAAACCCTAAACCCTAAAGCCTAAACCCTAAACCCAACCTTTAGGCACTCCTGGTCGTCGTGATTGTTGTGGTCGTCCTCCCGGTTGTCGCGGCTATCCTGCTTGTGGAGGGTTTAGGGTTTTGGGTTTAGGGTTTAGGGGTCCTGGCGGTCGTGGTTGGCTTGGTCGTCATGGTCACCGTGGTGCTCGATCGCGGTTTGGGGATCTATGCCGCCATAATAATGTAGGAACCTGAATGAGAAACCCTGGCCCTATAACCCCAATATCTTAGGGTTCATATTAGGAACCCTAATAAAGGTCCAGGGTTTCTTAATCAGGTTCCTACATTAGTTCAGGTTTTTGCGTGTTCTTTGACATGCGACGTCTCCATGTGGGTGTTCCAGCAAGTAGGGAACCCTGCCCCCGAAAACAGTCGGAGCTTGCTTCAAAGGACCGCTAAGTAGTTTTTCTATGAAACCCCCAAAGTATTATAGAATCCATGCAGAAACCCCATAGGGAAGAAGATACATGTAGGGGCCTTAATCATTAGAATAGGGTTTTGGGCCCTTCTATGCTGTACTTATAATAATAATAATAATAATAAGGAACCCTAAGGAAGACTATAGGTAGCTATTCAGGCTTCTATCTCCTTGAAGCTTCGAGGGGCCGAGCCTTCTCATGGCACTGGTATGGCAGGAAAGCCCCGATTGCGGAAGAGAGTCGAGCTCTCAGCAAGGGGACAGAGAGAGAGAGAGAGAGAGAGTTTGAGATCGACTAGACATTAAGGTTCCTGTTTGGAAGTTTTCTTAGCCGTGAAGACCTGCAGAGCCATTGGGATTAGAGAGAGAAAGTAACGCAAGAAAAGAATGGAAAGTGAGTGGGAGAGGGATCGATCGATGGATGGGACAGGGCATGAGGCTTTGCATAGGACATATTGCCCATGCCCGCAGGCCAGCTTTTGCTGTAGGAGTTGGAGGCAGGTCAGGGCTATCTCACGTGAATCTAGAGCCGACTTGAGGTGCAGCCGTGGTGCGGAAGCTGCAGGACCTCTCTCGCTTGCGATCGTCTTGAGGTCTTAGGTCTTAGGGTTTTGCTTGTCCTACCAAAACCTACATGTTTTAGGCCGCTTATAAGTTCTGTATTTGGATAGTTCTCTGAAATAGGGTTCCTGTTAGTGTCCTGTTATATAAGGGTGTCGTTCTATATTGGGGACCCAACACGGCACCCCAATTTGGAGAACTACCCAACCCTAAACCCTAAACCCTAAACCCTAAACTCTATCTGGATGTCAGAATGACAATTGAAGGCCCTGCACCCGGAAACAGAAGCCCTTAGCTCACGAGGTTGGGTTGTTGGTCTAGGTTTGAGTTCGTGAGCAGGGTTTAGGGGTCCCGGGTTTGAGGGTTTAGGGGTTTAAGGACTAGCAATCGTAGCAACAGCAGCAGCAGTATACAAAAGGAGCCGCAAGTAGTTTTGGTTCAATCCCGCACATTGCTGTTGCCGGTACGATAGCTTGTACCTGCATTGCTAAAAAAATTATTTGTGGTCTGTTACACATGTTGGCACTATTCTGCTTCGCACGAGGAGTAGTTTACCCTGCAGTTTCGTTTGTTCATGGTCCAGGTGTTTTGGCAACGTGAAACCTGAATCTTGCGTTCCGCAAGATCTTCCCTCGACCAGGAGAGGGGCGCGATTGTCATCGGGAAGACGAACATGGACTGCCAATGTCTCAGGGAGCTGAAGCCCTGAACCCAATAAAGGCACCCTAAACCCTAAACCCTAAATTCTAAACCCTGAACCCTTGAGGTTAAAGTTGTGTCAAAAAGTCTGAGACAGGTTACTTTGAGGAGCCCCAGCCCTGCTTCAGAGTCTATCCGGACCCCTGGTCTCTAATCCTGAAGGTCTTTTTCAGAGGCTTAGGGTTTGGGGTTTAGGGTTTAGGGTTTAGGGTTTAGGGTTTAGGGTTTAGGGTTCAGGAAGCCCGACACCCAGTCAGTCTCAACAGCACCGAACCCCGACAAGCCCAAGCGCAATGGCTAGATAAACGCACACGAAGCCGTGAGTTCACTCTCACAGAAGCAGAAGAAGACAGCCCCCACACCCACAAACCTGGATGCCGAACTGCAACGTTTTCAAGCTGGGGGTGTCGGGCCTACGGCCACGCGAAGGTCGCTAAAGCCTTAGCCCCCAAACCCCAAGTGCCAAAAGTCAGTTTATATATATATATATACATATACATATATATATATATATGTAGTATAACATTTAACATCTGTCATATAGTATACAATTTTTGATAAACTACAGCCCCAGCCTAAAGTAGACCCCCTAGCCAGTCACCAACAACGTCTCCGTGTGAGAACCTGAGTGGCCAAGGTGCTGCAACAGGCCCCCGCAGACAAACTGCGAGAGTTGGGTTTAGGGTTTTTTTGCTTTGAGGATGTTTAGGGTTTGAGGATGTTTAGGGTTCAGGGTTTAGGGTTTAGGGTTTAGGGTTCAGGGTTTAGGGTTTAGGGGCCAGGGTCGAACGTAGTTGAATGTAGGGGCCTTAAACAAGTAGAGTGTGGTGTTCCGAGTCGTACAGTATGACTAGAGCAAGCAGTCCTAGGGACTGGTAGTGGGGGAATTGCTGTAGGTCCACACTATTCAGTCGTATTACCTAGAGCACTGTTGAAGGGTTTAGGGTTTAGGGCCTAAGACCTGCGGCTCTCGGAAGTTTCCTGTTAGGGGGTTCCTTTCAGGGTTCCTTTAAAATTCCATAAGGGCTCCTCTACAGTTCTAGAAAGGGCTCCCTTAAGGGCTCCCTTAGACTGCTTCTTGTCGGGACTTTCAAGAAAAGGTCCCAGCAGACCAATGCTTCAGGCGTGAGAGTACCGAAACTGGTGATCAGATGCCCGTAGGTCAGAGACCGATCAAGGAGGAATTCGATGTGTGTGTGTGTGTGTGTGTGTGTTTAGGGTTTAGGGTTTAGGGTGTGTGTGTGTGTGTGTGTGCTGAGGCTCAGGCTGGAGCCAGAGCTTGAGGTTTAGGCCTTGAGGGTGTAGGAGGATACCGAAAGCTCTTTCGATTCGAGAAGATCTCGGCTTGTCAGCAGTCTCATTGAGGGAGCACGAAGACCCCGGAAGCGATCCCGAAGCCCCAAACCCTTGCCAAAAATGAACCCGCAACTGCCAAAAGCCACTGCCCCCAAAAACACAAAGACCCCCCCTGTTGGAGGCCTTGTGGGCGTGGCGTGCCCAGCAGTTGTTCGATCACAGCTTTGAAGCCACGCGCATCACATCGACGTCGGCAAAAATAGTGTAGAATCTCCTGGCAGTCCCTCTTAGCCTACCATAAAGCCTGGACCGTTTTCCCCTGCTCCCGAAGCACCCTCTGACTGATTCTTGGGAACCTGCAATACTTCCGCAGCCGCCACGAAACCTCTATAGACCCCTCATGGATCATGGGCATAATACAGGGCCCGAAATAATTACCAGTACTATTTTGTGTTGTAATTATGGTACAGTATACCCCGAAACCCTATTATACTTATGAAGGCTCCTATATGAACTTGGAACCCTGGAGCCAGTTCTTGTTGGCGGCTAACTTGAACCGATCCCAAGTCGGGTTTAGGTGTTTGCAACTCACAACCCTGTGCTGCCCTGCGCAGCAGATTGCCACGCCTTTTTTCCTGCAGAAACAGGAAACGGACGAATTGAGCTTGTCTCTGTGGAAGGAAACATTGACAGAGACACTGCGGAATTGAATAGAGTGAATGAGGCCCGGACCAAGGTGTGGCGCTGTGCAAACCCTCAACCGCAAGCCCTTAGGGTTTAGGGTTTAGGGTTTAGGGTTTAGGGGCCCCTTAAGACAAGTGGTCAGGAATGAGGTCTGAGGGCCAAGGGCGTGGGTGCGGCACATCATGTTTCCTCTAGGTGTTGATGACTCTAACGGTGTAGACCACGACCCTACACCCGATGTCTAGAAGTAGACGAAACATTAATCCTTAGCCAAGGCCTTCCGGTCGGAGGCTCTAGATTCTCGGTCCGGCATTCTATGAGAAAGGTTCGATTGTTTAGGGTTTAGGGTTCGCACCCGTTACTAGTTTCATGGCTTCGAACACCATAGCTTCTTCTGCAGCTCAGGACAGCACCTGTCTTTTGGGCGGTCCTTAAGCCCAGGGCCCAAACCTCATAAACCCTAAACCATTAACTTTAACCCTCAACCCTTAACCCGAACCTCATAAACCCTAAACGCACTTTGGCATTGGGGCCGTCGTTTTCAGGTCAGATCACCATACGGCGCCTGCCAGAATTCCTTGGTGTCTCGACGGCTCTTGGAAGAGTGCATGTACGGGTTCAGGGTTTGGAGTTTGGGGTTCGTGGCATGGGGTCGGCTTCGGCTGAACGGTTTGGTGCTCGAAAGCCTGAGTGGGATGCGGAAAGCGTGACTGCCCTAAACCCGAAACCCTAGACCCTAAACCGTAAACCTGGCGCCAGGTTCAGCAGGATGTGGGCACGAGATGCCCTAAACCCTAAACCCTTCTTTATTTGGAACCCCCAAAACCCCAAACCCTAAACGGAAAGGCTTCCAGTTTGACGGTGTTCCCCCAAGTACTAGGATCCTGAGCCGTACTCTTTTGCCCTTTTTCTTCGGGGTTCCCCTGTAAAAAGACACCCTGGCTATTAGGGGGCTACTCAGGAACCCATGACTAAAACCCCTTTTTTTTCCAGGCGATCTGCTCCAAGGGGCTTGCCATTGCCGCATAGATCGCCAAAAACCGATATATTACCTACCGGGTCGCTTCTCTCGGGTTGAGGCAGACTCTCAGCCCACCTTAAACCCTAAACCCCAAAAACTAAGCTTCAATCCTAAACCCTGAAAGCCCGAAGCCAAACAAGAACCATAATCCCTAAACCCTAAACCCTCATACAAAAAAACATACGCCGAAAACCCCATAATCCCTAAACCCTAAACCCTCAACAAAAAAACATAATCCCTGTATCGCATCCCCAGGACCGCTCCATGATCTCGGGTGGCTCGTCCTCAGGCTCCGGCGTGTCGGTTGCGCTGGGGCAGGCCGGATCGAGATTTCGGTTGCAGTAGGCTTTATAGGGTTTAGGGTTTAGGGTTTAGGGTTTAGGGTTTAGGGTTTAGGGTTTAGGTTTTAGGTTTTAGGGTTTAGGGTTTAGGTCACAAAAACCAGATGCCCGAATTAGGCTAGTATCAGTGCCTACTTGTAAGTATACCTACCCTAAACTGAAGCCCTAAACCCTAAACCACATAATTCTGCTGGATGGGGTTTATTGGAGATGTCCAATGTCAAATTTGGGGCTCTAAACCCTAAAACCCTAAACCCTAAACCCTAATACCTAAACCCCAAAACCCTAAACCCTAAACCCTAAACCCTGGTAGGCTTCACAGTTTCATTCGAACCGGTCTCGGGGTTGGCTTAGCATTTAGGGCGGCTTATATAGGGTTTTGGGTAAGGGGTAGGGTTACAAAGTTGAAAGGGTTCAGGGTTTAGGGTTTTCGTGTTTAGGCTTCGACTTTTGAGATGCGCAAAATCAGTCAGGACTCATTGCGAGATGAACATCTCACTTTCGAGCTACAATACTACAAAGCTTTAGTAGTGTATTATCCAGTGATGTTGTCATGGGTGTTCACCATCAAGGTTGCTACTGCCACCGCCACTGCATCGACGACGACCATTACCACCACTACCGCCACCATCGGTCCCACCAGCACCGCCACGGCCGCACCGCCACTCCACCAGCAGCACCACCAGCACCAGCACCGCCACCGCCATCACGGCCACCTCCACCGCCATTACACAGCCAACAGCCACCACCAGCACCACCAGAAGCCATCACCTCACCACATATGAGCAGCAGTTATTCGGATGATGACGATGATCATCGTCATCGTCAGTGGTGATTGTGACGATGGTGTTGATGACGATGATGACGATGATGATGATGATGATGATGACGATGTTGATGATGGTGATGACGATGATGACGAGGATGATGATGAGATGACGATGATGATGACGATAATGATGATGATGATGATGATGAGATGAAGATGATGATGTTGTTGTTGATGATCATGATGGTGATGGTGATGGTGATGCTGATGATGGTGATTGTGATGGTAATTACCATGAAGAAGATGATGATGATGACGATGATGATGACGATGATGATGACGATGATGATGACGATGATGATGATGATGATGTTGATGAGGGAGATGACGACGATGACGATGATAACGACGATGACGATGATTACGAGGGTGATGCTGATGATCATGATGATCATGATGATGATGATGATGATGATGATGATGATGATTCAGGGCCCCTACAGTCGTCTTTCAAGCATCGTCAGGTCACCTTCTCGTTGGGCACAGACACCGCGCGGTTCTCGGTCAGCTCCAGCAAGAAGCGCAGACCACTGAGTAGTTCTCCATATTAGAGTCCCCTTTTAGGGTTTTTTGACGGGTGCCCTACTGTATTGGGGACCCCAAAAGGGGGACCCTCATTTAGAGAAGTACCCCATTAGCTCCGAAGTTGATATTCCGACCGTCAGAGACCACGCTCGACACACCCTGTGACGTAGCAGAGGCCATCTTGCCGTGTGGGACCGGGGAGTATGGATTTGTTCTTGGTTGGGGGTTTCCCTGTAAAGGACCTATACTGACACAAACCTGCGACGTTAAGGATCGCAAGCAGAACCATAGCCTCAATGAAGAAAGAGTATGGATTTGTTCTTGGTTGGGGGTTTCCCTGTAAAGGACCTATACTGACACAAACCTGCGACGTTAAGGATCGCAAGCAGAACCATAGCCTCAATGAAGAAAATCCCTTCAATACTTTGCGGTAGCGTTGGCAGGAGGTCTCGGGGCTGACTTCCTCAAAATGCGTGAAACACCCAGCCAGCTTGTCACACGACTGTACAATCCCTAGGAGTATTTTACTTACACGTAGTCTCCATATGTCTCCATGGCAGTTCCTTTTTTCTGGGGGGTAGGGGTACCTTATGGGATTCTAATTTTGATATTGGTTCAACCAAAGAAAGCAGCTAAGATGGAAACTATATATAGGTAAGCCCGGAATCCTACATCCTAAACCCCACACCCCAAACCCCTAAACCCTAAACCCTAATCGGCCCTACCCTTAAACCCTAAACCCTAAACCGCTAAACCTTAAACCCCAAGCCCCTAAACCCTAAACCTTAAACCCAAAGTCCCTAAACCCTAAACCCCTTAAACATATAAACCCTAAGCCCAAAGTCCCAAACCCCTACTAAACCCTAAACCCTAAACCCTAAACCCTAAACCCAGTAGACCCTCCAAGAGCCGAGGCTGGAAGTGGAAGAGTTCCTGCGGCGCTCAACAACATCGTCGGCCTCAAGGCCTTGGGTTTAGGGTTCAGGGTTTAGGGTTTAGGGTTTAGGGTTTAGGGTTTAGGGTTTAGGGAGGGCCCACAACTGCCCTCATGGTCCTCTATAGTGGGTGTTTTGGGTTTATTAGAGGGTAGTTGGGTTTAGGGTTTAGGGTTTTGGGGGAAATGTGGGTTTAGGGAGTTGATAGGGTTGGTTTTTTGGTTTATTTACAGGGTTTAGGGGTTACGGGGTTTGGGGCTTTTCATGGTTTGCAGGTTGGGTTTAGGGGTTTGGGGGCTTAAGGGTTTGGGGTTTATAGGGTTTAGGGTTCGGGGTTTATTGTTTGTTTGGGGCTTCGAGTTTAGGGTGTAGGGTTTAGGGCTTATAGGGTTTGGGGTGTAGGGTCTAGGGTCTTGGGTTTTGGAGGGTTTCCCAAAATTCCTTAATTCAGGAATATGCCTTAAGCCATATTACCGGACTTCGCTCTCTTGGAGTTGGGACGGGAAGTCCTGGTGGTCAGGTTAAAATAGGGGCCTTAATAATTAGAATAGGGTTTGGGCTCTTTTATACTATAAATATATTAAGGAACCCCAAAATCGTATTGGTAATTATTAAGGCCCCGACGATAATTACGTGAAGGGATCTTTGGATGCAACAGTATAGTATATACTTTGGGCCCCGAATACTTGGGGGTTGAGTAGGTAACATTTAACCATTTGGGTTGATCAAGGAGCCCTTAAAGGAACCCTGAATTACAGGAGCCCCCTTAACGGAGCCCTTAACGGAACCATATAAATCCCATAAAGGAGCCCTTAAAGGAACCCTGAATTACGGGAGCCTTCAAAAAAACCCTATAGATCACTTAACGGAGCCCTCAAAGGAACCCTGTAGATCCTCTAAAGGAGCCCTGAAAGGAACCCTGTAGATCCCTTAAAGGAGCCCTTAAAGGAACCCTGTAGATCCCTTAA